GTTTATAGAAGCATTTAACAAGCTCGCGGTAAAAAAAAATCAAATGTAACAGACATTGCGAAGTACCCAAAAATAATAAAATAAAAACTAACACCATAAAACGAATGGCACGCATAATGGACTAATAATTGACGGCTGTACTCGCAACTAGTATCGGTTTGTCGATGCCACAGTAAAGATCAAAGGACTGTACGCACGCGCTATGTTCGAGAGCGGAGATGTGCCTCCTTTTGTTGAATTACCTTGATATATACCAAAAAGTACTAAAAATCTTAACAGGTACAATGAGGGCACTATAAAGAGGCAGTAGAGCTAAAAAAAATGTATTAATCAATCAACTATTAATCAATCAGCCGCGTGTTTCTAGAGCCCCACATAGAGCAGAATAATACACTAAAGGCAGTAGAGCTGATAAAGTATTATTCAACTATTAATCAGTTAGCCTCATGAGGGCAGTATAATAGAGGCAGTAGAGCTGAAAAAATCTATTATTCAACTACTAATCAATTAGCCCCATGAGGGCAGTGTAATAGAGGTAGTAGAGCTAAAAAAGATCTATTGGTCAACCAGCCGAGTGTTTCTAAAGCTCCTCATCGGAGCTAAAAAATCGAAAGTGTCCATTAGGGTAGGTGAACATGTGTCCAAATCATGTCAGGCAGGCTCCAGGCATCTACATCGTAGATGTAGGTTTTTCTAATACTGTATATAGGATGTAAAACAACTTTTGCTTCTTTTAATGAAAAAAAATGAAGATATTTTTCTAGAAAAAAATTGTTATCATTTTATTACCATTTCTGTTTGATAAGTAGCCAATCTTGATTAGGAAACTTATTTTCTAATACATATTTTAAATCACAAAAATTATTTACATTCAGTAAGGCCAAAAAAAAAAAGTTGTGTTGGCCACACCCGACAAATAAGCAAATAAGTCTGGAATATGCCAATCCAAAATTTTTGTATTTATTTGTGTATATTCTACTTTTTAGGCGTAAACACATATTTGGTTTTAAAAAAAAGGTTTTCCTACCGACCTACCCATTTTTTGGGGGGATTTTCCCAAAACGTAGCCAACACAATTTTTTTTTTTTGGCCTAATTCCTGTAATTTAAGAAAATGAACTACTGTATATGAAAAAGTTAAGCAATGTTTTATTGTTGTTCATGTCAATTTGTCAACAATATTCTTATCTTTTTTAACTGGTTATTGATCTCATTTACTTTTATGAGGGCTGGAATACCAAAACCAACATCAGTGACCAAATCAAGAAAATTGATTTTTATTACGGTACTGTATATCATGTTCTCCACATTATAAGCTTTAATATGATGGGTCATATACTGCAATTGACTTATTGCCAAAGTTATTGAAAAATTATGGCTTCTCTGTGTTGCATTTTTAAAATAAACTTGAATTGAATTAACAGACTCAATCAATGTGTAATATATACCACAGCCTATTACTATTAAGTTTTGCAAGAGATGTACAACCACTGCAGCAAATTCCTCATTTTTTCATAGTACGAATTTGTGAAAAGAAATTTTTGCATCGTTCATTTGTTTGTTTTTTTTTTCATTTTTTTTTTATGTAAAAAAGAGAGTACTTTTATGGGAAAACCACAAACTTTTACATAAATCTTTCTGTCAAGTAAAACTAAATTTTACGGATTTGTTGGCACAGTGGTTAGGATTTAACCCTTAACCTTTAGGTTCGGTTGTTGTTTGAAACCCTTGATATGCAGATTGCTTCCTTTGGGAAAAGCACTTTACAGTTGAATTTGCCCAAGTCAAAATCCAAAATGCCATTGAAATATTGTTCGACTTATTAAAATTTGACTTACAGATTGTTAATTAATAGAAAACAATAATTTGGCATGTAAAATAAGAACGAATTATAAATTATTTGACTTAGGCACAGTCGACTTAGGCAAGTTTAACTGTATACCTAGAGATGCTTCTTTCCACTCTGGAGTTCAACTGCAAACCTGTAAGTTTGAAATACACATGCTGCAACATTATTGAGTTGTCCTCTATAGTATGCCTTTCTTAAGTACTGTATCAAATAATCGAATGTCCTGGGTACAGTAATTGTGAGCTGTTGTGACAAAACGAGTCTTGTGGTACGCCAGGTCAATTTGATATATTTAAGAAAAAGTAACTGAAGTGATATTTTAACAAAAATTGGTTTTCAATTTTTCTGATAAGTTTAATAAGTATATTTCATATTAGCAAACATCCGAGTTGAGTTACCGAAGGTAATAATTTGTTTGAGACATTTTGTTAAGCTATTTTTCAGAATTGATAGGAAAACCAATACAAATTTTATCAGTTGTTTATCTTTAGAGACGATTTTCTCTTAAGTATGTTTTTTAGACATCTGAATTTTAAAATGTTCTTACTCCCGTTTTTACTCAACCTAGGAACATGATTCAAAGGCCAAAATTATATTCATCTATCTAAATATATCAATAACTCATTTTTCATTTTGTCACAACAGCTCACAATTATGGTGAAGTGCAAAGAGCCCATGTTGATGCAATATAAGACTGACATAAAACATTATTAAAATTATTTTATAATATGAAAGTCATAGATGATATAGTTTGTACCTGCTTTTAAATAAATATCAATATCATTTCTGTTATAGATAATCATTAAACAGCTATGTTTCGTCAATATTCTATTGGATTTATGCTGTAGTAACAAAACATTTCATTCGTAAAACTACAATCTACGTCGCTAAATCATCATGTTTCCATTGTTGTTTGATTTGTTGACGAATTCGAAGCAGGTTTCTTCAATTCCCAGATCTAAATAAAACGAAAAAAAAGTTTTATGACAAATTGTGGACAATAAAAAAAAAAACAATTATATATTTTTACTGTATATATTTGAGAAAATAAAAAATCAGGTAGTTCCACCTTGAAAAATGTTAATATGTTTTTGGTATTTTTACCTAATTTATGTAGCTAACAACAACAGTTGTAATAGTGGGTAAACTTTAATAATAATGAATAAGAGATTACTTGTATGTAAGCCTCAGACAGCGCAATCATCTGAGGCAGGATATCTGACACATGAAGATCTTGTATTTCATTCCATTTTCCAGTTCCCTGCAAATCAAAAATAACAGTTAAAATAGTTTAAAGCATGTCTGTTTGTACAGTAATACATTGAAATAATGAGAACAGACGTTTAAAATTATAATGTAAATGTTGTTTTTGTTTACCTTATGCAAGATGTGGACACGGTAAGTCCCTTTGCCTGGTTCACCATCGTGTACAATGTTCGCTATAAGATCATATGTCGTGTTTGGATGAGCTTTACGTACATTAGGATCTGGTGATAAATACTCCTTCAAATCAATATTCCTGGTGAAAAATAATTTCAATTGAATAATTAAATAAATTAATGATAATAAAACAAACAATTGCAAACAATAAATTTAAATTAAACAAAAACAGTAAAATCTAATGACTGTCAGTCAAAAAAAAGAATGTTTCATAAATTTCTAACTGTATATAATTCTATTTTATTCATAATGTCAAACAATAAACTAAATAAAAGCAAATGGAACAGAAACTTAATTCAAAAAATAATTAAGTTCAATTTATAAGACATACAGAAATGACAATAATGAGTACTTCAACACTTGCAATAAATATTTAAAAGAAAATTTTTAGGAGTAAATATATGTTAAAAATATGTTATTATAAATAAGATAACTCACTTTATTGGAAAATTAACAATAGTTCGATTCTTCTCCACAAAGAAGGTGTTTTTATTAAAGCGCTTAAGGCAAAGAATGAGATATGGGGGTAGTTTGGTGAGCTCAAATCGTTTGATGGTTGAGTCCTTGTAAGTCTTGTATTCCTGTAATATGAAGCAATAATCATTCTTATGTTGATTTAACTAATTACATCATCTCACAAAAAAATGATTACAGTATATAAAAACAACCTATGATGCTCAAAGACTGATTCACATAGAATCCCACAAAAATGTCACAAAACAACAATTTTTAACGATTTGGTGATGGTTTCTGCCTGAGAAATGCCCAAAATCTTAAACTTTGAAGGCCAATTTCTCAAATATTGTTCTTTAAACAACTGTATGTTTAAACTCCTGTAACTTCATAGCAAAATGTCGGATTTAAATGATTCTTTTACCATCTCATAGCTCTCATTTCACTGTTTAACGCTGTATTAATAACTAAAAATCAATTTTTGTGAGGAGTGACTGGTTTAGCTTATGATAATAAATTTATTAGTCAATTTCCAGTATAAAAAATATTTGGCACTAACTAAATTGGCATGGGCCCACACAGTTTGGTTGGTTATAATGATTTAACCACATGGTTATGTTAAACATTTCTTAAAACTTAGAAGAACTAAACTGAAGCTTTTTACAAGTATTTTGGGCTTCTGGGTTAAAAATAATTTTTGGTGCTTGTGGTTCAGGCAGGCTTGGGCCTAATCTAAAGTCATAAGCAAATGTTCATATGTTTTGTCTTGTATTGCTTTTACCTTGTTAATGAATAAACGAAATGAAACACACTTACTTTTTCTGTCGTGCCATCAAACTTTGCCATTAGCGTTGCTAGTGGGATCTGTGGAATAATGTTTTGTTCCAATTCATCACGAAACAAAGGAGCTCTTGGTATATCCAACATCAAGTAGAGAAATGGGGACTGACTTTCAGTTTCTGTGACATAAAAGAAAAAAGAAGTTATAAGAAGTAAAATTTGCTAAAAACCAAGTAATCTCTACCATACTCAAGAAGCCCACTGATATAAATATCTGATATTAAGTTATTTTTTGAGTTGGAAGTCTTAATGTAAAAGGTCTCCATCAAGTTTATGTGGCAAATGTATATGATTTTTCAATATATGGGCATTATGATATACTGTAATACCACCCATATAATTCGGCAAATAATAGCAATTTCCAAATAAAATATGATACTGTACACATAGCTTTATGATGGCACAATATGGCACAAAACAGTGATTACCTGTTGTATGAATACAGTACTACAGGGACGTATTTATGGTGGGCAGAGGTTGGCGGGGACACCCAGCCTTGAAGATTTCCATCCAGCCTAAAGCTAATTTTGTTGCCCTTCACCCACCCTTATTAAACCCACTTTTCCATCCTTAAAATCCACTCTTATTCTTAAAGTGTCTGTCACTCACCCTTAGTTTTCTACAGCTAATACCCTGGTTCTAAGACAGACTATACAACAGCTTGAGATGTGAATTACTAAGCAAGATCTACTATGGCCTAAAGGCCTGTCCAGACTATCAAATTTTATTTGACAAAAAACATGTGACATGCCTAAATATGGTCATGATGACATCACACCATGACCACATATAGGCATATCATGACTATATATGGGCAATACAACAGTTTTTGGTAGTGTGGACAAAGCTTTAGTATGAGCTAATAAAGTATACAAGGAGGTGGACTCCTCCAATGCTATAAGTTATATAACACACATAAATAGATCCTTGTCATTTGATTGGTGAACTTGTATCACATGACATTGGTTATTTACCCCACTTTCGTCATTCATCATGGAAATTTAGTTCCACCAACTGTACTCTAAATTCCAGATTGTTGCTTCTGTTTTTAATTTTATGATAAAAAAAAAAAAAGCAAATATTTATAGCATGCACACCTTTATATTCATCTTTTTTTAAGTATTCCTCCTTTTCTTTCTCCGAGATATCAACCGGTAAAACTTTGCGCGAGTAGATCTTCATAGAGCCCTGGAAGACTTTGTAAATGATGCTGCTATTTCGGTTTTTCGTTCCATTCAATGAAATGTGAAGAGTGTTTAAAAACCAAGACAGGAACTCAACTGGATCTCCTGAAATACAGACCAAAATCAGAAGTCAAAATGAGGCATACCATACTGCATACTTTTGCTATATGTTTGTTAAAACCTAAAACAGAAGTCCAATGGGCTTTAATCTCGCGGAGAAGCCCATCTCAAATTGACAAACCCACCCTCTTCTTCAGTTTGCAAAATAGCCTAAAAAAAACCCATCTTGAAAATGGGCTTCTTTTCGAGATAGTACAGTACATACACTGTACAGGGTACATGAATTTCAAAGAACCAAAATGAATTAAAAACATGCTTGGTTTACACAGAAGTTTAGGTAATATAATGCCGGTTAATGCACCCCATTATACAGACTAAATGTTACAGTCAGTAGCCCGTTTTATTGTTTTATTGTAGTAATTCCTAAAATTTAGAGCACTCTCATTTTAAAGAGAAAGCCTCCCTATTTACTTTGCAAATATAGTCTCGAAAAGAAGCCCATCCTAAAAAGAATCCCATGCAAAGTTCGCAAAAAAAGTTCGCAAAAAAAAAAAGTCATAATACTTTTATTCATAACTATAGCAACAGTGGGTTGATTCATTTTAAAGCTTATAATGTGGAGAATATGAATACATTAAAAGTAATCAATATTCTTCTTTTTGTCATTGATGCTGGTATTGCAGGCCCCATTTGGCTGCACACTGTGAAACGGAGGCTGTAACACAGCCTTCTAATGTAGAAGGCTTAGGTCAAGTTAGGTCTGGGGCAGATTGCTAAAAGCGGTCTTTAGATGGTCTTAATGCTTAGCCAGCTTTAATTGCAACGTCACTACTGGTCTATGATTATAGACCATTGCTATACTGCGGTCTAACCAGTTAGCCGTCTTAAATTTTAAAGCCTACTCGGAGGAGGCTTAAAACAGTCTTAAATCATTTTCATCATGGTGGACCTAGACCTAGATGGTCAAAGAGTAAGAATCGAACGATGAATATTCCGCAAGCTTCCCAGTGTCTGTAAAAACCGGTTTATGTTTATTTACGTTCATTTTGATAAATATGCATGTTTTTGAGCAAGCATAACAGCGCCCTCAATTTCATGTTACCAGGGAGAGCTTGTTTGCGTTTCACTACTCAAAGCGGTCTACGTGAAAACCGTTTTATAGCATTGGTCTTAGCAGAGTGACTTTAGTAAGACCATCTAAGTGATAAAGCCGGCTTCATTCGAGGAGTTAAGACTGCCAGTTAAGACCGTTTTATAGCAATCTGCCCATGGTCTGAAGTAGTAGCAACGATGCATTACCTTGCTCTGTGATTTGGAATTTCTTTTTGCTACACAACACCACAGCCTGCAACATCTCATGCGGACTCACATGAGCTTTGAAATTACGTGGATTCCACATCTTCCGCATCAACTCCCCAAATCGTTGCGATAGTAGACACAAAATGTCACCAGGAGGGCGCTTTATATGGACGTAATTCTCCTCCTGGAGAAAGTAACGCTGCAATGGTGTGACATTTGAAAGGGCCTGTGGAAAAAATTCATAGAAAGTTAATAATAATAAAAATAGCTATAATAATAATGATAATCATCATCATCATCATCACCATCATCTTTTTTTTCAGAAACAATGTTTTTTGGCCTACATCTATATTTTGTTACTTCAAGGTTTCAAGAAATTCTAAAGATTTCTTTTTCTCTCAAGTAACCTGTTGCTTGTGTCACCATAAGGATATTATATCATATTTATATCTAAATTATTAAATGTATAGTGAAGAATGAAGGCACTGACACTGAGCAGTTGACTGAGATGTATTGTTCAGCTGCTGCTTCTGCTGAAGACACCAGCCAGCATCAGGTTTTAATTCAATCTGATTGCTTGGCTTCTTGAATGGTTCTGGTATTGAGAGTTCAGCAGATTAAGAACAATGCTTGTGTCTGTATGTGTCCTCTATATGTTGTAGGTAAGTCAGGTGGTGCCAAACCAGGCTTCGGCAGGTACCCAGGGACCCAGTCAAAAATTCTGATTTCCAATTAGAATGAGGACAAATAAAAAGTTATCTTTATCATTAATTTGGAAAACAGTTCATATAAAACTTACATGGAGGAGAACATTACAGTAGTCGTTAGCTTTGATATTGTTCAATCCCACAATACCTGGTAGGTATGTCGTTCCATCGTATGCTCTTGACACCTTTGAGCTAGTCTCTAATGCATCAATGGCTTCAGCATTGAATACTGGTCGCAAGACAAACTGAAAAAATAAAATAAAACCAACTTTCATTGTAAAATGGAGTGTATATAAACAATTGCATGTATTTACGAAAGGTGAAAATGTTTTTAAAATATAAAAAGGCATTCTTTGGTTAGTTTTCTTTTCGATGGAAATTTTTGGAGAACATGATTAGCTATAACAAATGATGATTATAATATACTTTTTTATGTACTGTAACCTCTTAAAACCATAAGACTTTAACATCTTTAATGACAATGAGCAATGTACTTTATCTAAGTTTTTCTCTTCACCCAGATGCAACAGAACTAGCACATTTTTGTGGGAGTAGGAAAAGATGGGATAGACAAAATGAAGTTGGTTGTTATGAGGCGAGACGTATGGCAGAACCGGGAAAAGACACCTGGCATATTGTACTAAATGTGGGTGTGGAACATCAGAGTTTAAGGGTGTGGTATGGGGAGGTGGAATTTCATGAAGATGGTCATGTGCAATCTTCCTTGTATGACCATCTTTAATTTGTTGTAGAATTTTGGACACGGCCACAGGTTTGGGTGAGTTAGTCATGATTGACTGCGTAAATTTAAAATAACCTGTTAGTGAAGAGTAGATACGTACCTTAATATCATCCAATGATGAATCAATAATTTCATAGTTGTCTGGCAGACAGTAGAACCTTAAGCTATGAAGGTTCAAAAACACATGATGATTCACCTGCACACTATGGGTGTATGCATGAGACTTCTGTCCACGACCTAAACAGAAATAACCAATGAAAACGATGTATATAATACATTATATGTGAGCTGTCGTGACAAAACGAGTCTTGTGGTACGAAAAAAGAAAAATGAGTTTAAATGATATACTTTCGACAGATGACAATATCAGCTTTATTTTGGTCTTTGAATCATGTTCCTAGGTTCAGTAAAGCCGGTGTAAGATCATTTTACTTAAGAGAGAATTGCCTCTAAAGATAAACAACTGATGAATTTTTTGTTGGTTTTCGTATCAATTCTGAAAAATAGCTTTAAAAAAATGTGCCTCAAAAACATGATTACCTTTAGGAAACTTAACTCAGAACTTTTGCTGCTGTGAAATATATATATATTTATTAAACTTACCAGAAAAACGCAATTTTTGTCAAAATATAACTTCAGATATACTGTATATTCTTGAATATATCAAACTGAACTTGCGTACCACAAGACTCATTTTCCCACGACAGCTCACATATTTGAAATGCTACTGCTATACTGTTTTTCAAATATGGCTCACTTGAAATACAAATACTTTTAAGATCAATTCACATGGCCAAAATTTGTGACCGAACAGAGAGCAATATAAAACTCAACACTCAGTAAAGTGTCCACACTACTGTATTAGACAAGTGACAAAATTGCTAATGAGCATGAGATGTAAGATAAGATAAGATACACTTTATTGCTCCAAGTCGGAAATTTAGTTCTCGCATTAAAATACAGTAAAACAATTAAAAGAATGATCAAATATAATGAACTATAAAAATTACAATGTAAAAATGACATCAAACAACGACCATTAAAACATTATATATCACCGAAGCATGTCATATCACACACATATATGGCAACTCACAGGTAAAAACCATTTAGTAGTAATACTGCACTAAATATATTTTTTTTTTAATTAATCTAAGTTATGAATTTAAAAGATAAAGATTTAAGATTCATTTTATTGATTTGTATATAAAAATACATATATATATAAAAAAAATGATTTTTTTGTTTTGTTTTTTGTTTTTTTTTTTTTTTTTTTTGAGTATCACACATTGTCAAGTACAATTTAAACTACAATACAGTATTACAATTACACGTAAAACACAAAATATATACAATATGTTATAATATTTAGTGTTAAAAAGACATTAACAAATTGAATTGAAATTATAGAAAAGATCCAATGTAAAAATGACAATCATAGATAATTTTAAAAAGAGATATTAAAAAAAAATCCTTGCAATAAGATCAGGAGAATAAAATGTACAGTATAAAATTCTCCAACCTGTAACAGTAAAACGGTTCAATTTTTGTTGGGCGTGTACTGATTTAAAAATAAATTAAAAATATTAGTAAAAAAAATGATAGTGTACAATTACCTTGAAAGTACTTGCCACACACAAGACATCCGTAGACATTCAAATGGGAGAGGGAGACGGAGCAGAGCTTCTCAAAGTCAAAATCCAGCAGATGCCTGAGAGGAATTGGTTTATCAATAAAATAAATCAATAAAATAATGTTAGTGAATTATGCAAATAGCAATCATTCGTAATTACTGAAATTTCTTTATTTTAATTTTGATTGTATATTGTAATGGTCTTTTCTATGGGTACTTGTTATAAACACAATCACTCAGTCTCACAAAAATACAAAAATGTAAACATGATATCAACCAAAGTTACATAAATACACCAAAAATGAACACTTTATATATTTAAGACCTGCACAAAATATATTAATACAATAAAAGTATGTACTGTACATTATGAAACCATAAAAGAGATGCTAAAAACTCTAGTATCAGAAAGGATAGTGACCAATGGCTGAATTTAATCCCCAACAGTTAATCAATGATTCTTATGGTAACTTTAGTTTCCATTAACACGTTGGCTGCCAGCGACGAGTATACTCGCCCACAGGGTCTTGCTGAGGGCACCAAGGACGAGTATACTCATTAAAATCACGGTAACATTCTTGCATTTATAACTTCTTTATTATAAATTGTAGAACCACAGACTCAACGACTGGTAATTCGGGGAAGATACACATAATGATAACGTACAAATGGCATATGTATGTTTGTTGTGTTATGTTGCCGGTAGTACACTCGAGCGGTACCAGTGGGGGCGCCCTTTGAACATATACCAACCCATGTAAAAAGCAGAGGAGATATTTGGCCAATTTCAGGCTCAAAATGTTCTTAATTTGTTGTTATTTTACAGCAAAAGAGGGCCCTGACAAAATGCCCTGGAAAAATTGCCCCAGAAAAAAGACCTGGTAAAAATGGCCCCAAATGACAGTACACCTGATTATAGGGGGTATTACATAGTCACACCTACATTAATGCACATAAGGTACAGATATAATTTTTGGGGGGGTTTTCAAAAACCTCATTTGACATTTTACCTCAGCCTCAATTTGTTTTTATTTTGTTCTTATTTTTTAAGCAATTGCAGCCTCAGTGTTCTTATAAAAGTGTAGCACCAAACATTGACGTACATCAACTTTCCTTAGTAATGAACCATACTTTGATTTCTTTAGTTCTTGTACCACTACCACTAGTCAAAGGTTACAAAACTAATTTACCTGTTTATTGTGTCCAAATAAGGGCAGTTGCGGCTCACATCCAGCTTTGTATGTTTAGGTTTATCTGTCAAACACGAACGGAAAGACACAAATTTATTGATTGATTGAAATTATCTGGTGCACGATAAATATGCACGATACAAAATAAAAATGATCTGTAAACAAAGAAAGTAAAAATTAATGAGCATCCGGAATTTAATACAGATTAACATAAACATAAATAAATCAAAGCCTAAACATAAAAGACATCTTGATATATGTCAAAAGAAAACTGAGGAAACAATAAAAAAACACAAACACTGAAATTCAACAATGCAATTAGATGGTCATTTTTATCCAGGTAAGTATTCACGAAGTAGGCCTAGACTTATAAATCTAGACTAGCCTCTCCCCTCCCCCCCCCCTCCAGGCCTAAAAAAGCAGGATCTAGGGCCTATTTTTTTTTTTAGCCTAGGCCCTAGTCCTAAGTGGCCCAATATCTATTACTTTCAGTTGTCTACTAGTTGTTTACTAGTTGTCTGGTCAGACTCACTACTAAATACTAAACCTCCTAGGCTAGGCTATTACTGCGATAGGCCTACTGTAGGCCATCCAGTGAGCTTGCACCAGGAAAAGTCTCACTTCTGTCCTGTCTAGTCTGTGCGTTAAAGAAGGAGGACAAAGATGGTGGTGAGTAGTCTAGCCTAGCTAACATAGGCCCATTTCTTAGCTAGCCTATTATCTTCTGATTAATTTAACAACAAAATCATTACCACCATCATAATCAAAATCATCAGAGGAGCGTTTTTTCGCCGAAGAAGTCATGGCTTCCACTAAAAGGGAATATTTTGGTACACTACTTCTAAAATTAACCCGCGGTGCCTCGACAGCTCCAAGCCTCCTTCTTTTCTTGATGATGATTGGCTACAGGCTTAAAGTATTATGTATTGTAAAGTCAAAGGTCAGCAGCGTTTTATGGATGAATAATCAACAGAGGAAAGTTGTGAAAACATCTTACAAAATTACAATCACAGTAAGGCCTACGTTAATAATATTTATATTAATTCATTTGTAATCAGTAAGGCCCAATAGTATAGCCTAGTCAAACTGCCTTCTTTGGCATAGAATTTGACTTTGTGTCCTCCTAAATGTCTTTGTTGTTGTGTCCGCCTAGCTAGAGGAGACTAGCCTACTCTCTAGAGAGAGACCTACACTGCCTAGGCCTACACTGAGACTGGTGTAGACTAGGCCTAGTTAGGCTAGGTCATGGGCCTAGCCTGGCTGCCCTAGGCCTAGTCACTAGCAGCTGCTGCAGGCTAACTTTGCCTTGCTACTATATAATCTAGGTAGGCTTAGACTAGATACTGCTAGATAGTCTCTGCATATAATTTGCAAACTTTGCGAAGGAAATCATGCACAGCGCAAAAATGAACAGACAATTTAAAAAAAAAGTAATCTTAGGCCTAAGCCTATATACGAAGTCAAGGAACATTTGTTCAGAATTTGTTTGGGTCCTCGATGTTCACGATTCTTAATTTACATTGCAGTAAAGTATGGATTGGATGTACTATTAAGAGAAGCGGATTCATTAGGAAATGAGCGATTCACCTAAAAGGAAACGACTTAAACAGTCAACATTAACTGCAATGTTCAACACAAAGAGTCAACAAAAGCAAAGTAAGTCTTAGCCTTTTTCTAAATTTTATACTATGTTTATATACTAAATAGCAACATTATTATGTTGGAAGTATAGTCAGAGAAAAACTAAATAAAGATAAATAATTTTTTTTTCTTGTTTAGTAGTACTGTAGGGTTTTGCCAAATACGTCTAAAATCTGAGTACGACTAAAAAAGTAAATTGGTAAGGTAGGTCGGTAGAATGCATTGGACAGTGTAAACTACCCTGAAATCTGATTGATAAATGCTATTTATTGATCTGAAATCTGATTGATAAAATTTTCCTTTTATTATTAAATTCAAACTCACCTCTATTGTCTTAAAAAGTTGAAGAAGAAGTATTGAATGAAATTTTTGCACCAAGAGTTGATAGTGAACTACAAAAGCAACAGAGGCAACTGTTAGCAGAGGCAGCGGAAAACCGAAGGTAATTAGAATTAAAATGAAATACTTAATAAAAATATGTAGTATTTTATAATCATAACTATGTTAATGAAGTATTGTTTTGAAGGTTTGCATGGTGAAGTAATAACATATATGTTGAAGCTTGCGGTACACCATGTAGGTAGTTCTGAAAAGAACTGTTGTAGTTGAGAAAGTCTCAACGTTTCGATTGAGGTGCTTCAATCATCTTCAGGAGAATAATATCTGCAGAAATTCCAAGCAGAGCAATATATGTTTGGGTAGAGAGGCTGGTTGGTGATTGGATAGATAAACTGACCAATGAGAAGACTGATAGTGAAAGGCTAAAACAAAAGCCATTGTTCACTGAGACCAAAGATGGGAACGCCCAACCAAAGGCATGGTTCCAGAGGTGGGAAAAGGGTGGGAACGACCAAAAACAAAGGCATAGTTCCAGAGTGGCGGGAAAGGGGCGATGAGAACGACCAAATACAAAGGCATAGTTCCAGTAAGCTTCAACATGTTAATGAATCTTTGATAAACTTTCATAGTTTGTTCTGTTATGTGACAGAAATTAGAATTGTATAGGTGTATTTGTTTTTCATTTTCAATTCAAGCATTGTTAATTTTCATATTCTTTTTTAATACTAGAATTAATATACTTCTGTATTCAATTTTGCCATGCTTTTCATACAAGTATATAAGTACATAAGTTTAATTCTTTTTACATGCAGTATATTATAATAAAATAATGTCATATTCTATGTACATGTGTTTTCTATGTTTTTGTAGTTTTAAAGCAGGTTTTTTTTTTTTATAAAATTCTAATGTTTCAAGTTTGCATATATCTTTCATTTTATATATACAGTTTTATTGACACAACGTGCCTGTGTATAACTTGACATGTGAATATGTATTTTTCGTGGAATTTTAAATAGCTATTTTAATTATGTACATTTGATGCAATTTAGTTAAGTGGCCAAATCAAGTAATTTTATTGAATAATTAATTTAAGATAAATTAAATCAATAAACAAAATTGAAAGTTAACTTTTATGTGCTTTCCTGGCAGCTAATGACTATGGTCTTTTTAATGTACTTGTCAATGTTATGTTTGTTTGATATTTTTCTGAATTGTATTATATTTTGTATATCGTATCTTTTCCTGAATAAATAATAATAGTAATAATATAATAATATCTCTAGTTATATTATTTTTTAGCAAGTATTGCTTTTTAATGTTGATTTAACAATTGTATCACACATCAACGCTGCTTTCATTACATAATTTGATTATTTCTCTTTCATTAGGAATCGTAAATCTTCCCCAAGCGCTATTAATAACAAGTGCAGTGATAATAGTAAACCAGACCGATTAGTGCATTACACAGACAGTAGGAAATCATCTGCCAATGAGAAAAAGATCCCTTCCCATGATGTACCTTCGACATCAGCAGCTGCAGCTAGTGCGTCGACCCCACCGACCTTGGAGTATGACTTTGAAGAATCTCCTGTTTTATTTTCAGAGTATGATTTACTTTTTTTTAATGTGATATTCTTTGATATGTTGTTTAAACTTCTTGTTTACTTTTCCTTTTTATGTACCTCATTAAGATGGAGATCCACTAACCTACGCATGCACAGGAACAGTAGTGTATCAGATGGTGCGCTGTGGCACCTTATTTTGCATGTCAGTGCCCCCCTCACTTAATATTTACCTTCAACCCTCCTCCATCAGCTCCCCCTATTTCAAGACTCAAGAAGTGGCATAATAGACCATAAAACACCAATTACTATGCAGAGATGATTATTATTTTATTTTGGGATAACTCAGGTTTTCTGCATGCATAGCACCATAAACACCGTATCAGGGTTCGAATTTCCTCAAAATGCTCCATCAGAAAATAGTTGCTGGGGGCTATGTCTTTTACTACAGCAATTTATTCTTTTACAGCAACAACCTTTGTAATTTTTTTTTATGAAAAGGCCTGTTCCATAAATGAAATTGTGTAATTCATTGCTAGGCCTGGTGACCCGACATCAAAAAGCTTGCTGTCGAGCCTGGGATTTACAAAAGTAGTGGAAGGCCCTTTCTACAGCGATTACTGTCGGTGCTGTAGGGAAATTCAAACTCTGAGTATCTCATCGTTATAAATATAAAATCTATATTTCTATATAAATCAGCTTTGCTGCATACCACCATAAACACCTTATCTATTTGTATGTATTTTATATCTATTTGTATGTATTTCATATTTCTATATATATTTATATATATTTCTGTATTTAAATATAACTCAGTATGCTATCAAGTTGCCCTATCCTAGAAATTGGTTAAAAGTAAACATCACAAACTGTTCCAGCTTTATTACTATTTCCAATGATAATTTATAGTCAATGTTTTTTTTTTATTTTAAGTTCAGAGCCTCTTTCAAGTCAAAGTCAGCATTTAGAAGACAGTAACCAATCAACCCAGCTTGTGGTACCATCACCTCCTCCAACACTTACCAGGGAGAAGAGCTACGGAGTGCCTTACAGCAACTTGAATAGGAAACCTGAAAGCAGTGCAAAGTTACCGCAGCTAGCATCAACCCCAGATCACACACTGTTATTTAGGGTAAGGAATGCTATTTTGTATAATGATTGATTGATTGATTGATTGACTGATTGATTGATTGACTGATTGATTGATTGATTGACTGATTGATTGATTGACTGATTGATTGATTGATTGATTGATTGATTGATTGAATTTGTTCAGTTAAAAGAATTACAGCCCACAAAATTTCATATGAATTGTTTATAGAAGGGTCCATATAAAATACATATAAACAGTAATTAGACAATTAACACTTTACAGACTAAGAACTCTTATTTATATACAGCTACCTTTTCTACTTCATCAGAATACAGGTAATAGAGAGTAAAAATAGAGTAGCATAAACTGAGTCAACAACAGAATAGCAATTAATTCCAAATGAAATGTGTTTTAACACATAAAACATTCCATCCTCCTGCTTTCTTCATATTTTTTTTTTGGACCAAGCTTGATTAAAGCAATCTATTTCTTATTCTTGGCTCTCATTGTAGGTCATCATGTTGTATCATGTATGTATTTGCAATAAAGAGAGATATATATGTGGCAAAGACAAGCCAAACTCGTGGCAGTTCGTTTTTCGGAGATAAGGCCAAAAAAAATATGTTGTGTTGCCCTCCGCGACCAACCAAAATTTTCCAAAAAATCAGGTCAGCATTTTCTCAAATATTGTTCTGTATGTTTGAATGCTTGTAACTTCATAAGGAAATGTTGGATTTAAATGATTCTTTTACCATTTTATAGCTCTCATTTTACTGTTTAACCCTGTAATAATAGCCAAAAATCAATTTTTGCGACCAGTGACTGGTTTGGCTTGACTTTGCCACATAATTATATTTGTTCCATGAGGAATTTCTTGCAGGTGTACTTTCACTGAAAAGGGTTATTACGTTTTTATGTATGCTTGTTATGTTAACCATTTAACAATATTATTTCATGTTTATTGAGCAAGAATATCCCATATTTAGTTAGATTCTTGGGTTGTACAAAATATTAAATTAGATTTTAAATCAGAAACACATGGATGCATTTGATGTAGTTTGTTATTGTTACTGTTATAACTATTTTGCATTCTTGTTGCTGCTGTTGCTATCATTATCATTGTTATCATTATTTTATTTTCTTCTCCCAGCCACATATTCGGCCTGGCAGTGCCCCTCGTCCATACCCTGATACCTACCAAGACCATTGGAATAACAACTTTGTACGAATGCCATGCTCAAGAGAAAATCTATATCCCTTTCAAGATGAGGTACGGTAGATTTTAACTGTAAATTATGTTTTTAGATTAATATGATAATTTAATTATTGATATCATATATTATTATAAGACTGTATGATTACAAAGAATCGACAATCATCAGGCACGTCTAATGGCTGAGCGGTTAAGGCAGGAGCCCGGATAAGGACTATAAACAGTAGGCCCAGTGTATGTAATTGGCTCATGTACACTTAAGAAACCCTGTACATCTTTAAGACGAGTAGGGGTTACCCCTTTGTACTGGTCCATCTCACAGCCCCTGTCCTCATTCAGTACGACAGGTGATCTTTACTAGAATGGAAAACAATAAGAAAATGGTAGCACTTTATAGACTAGTTGAAAATTGTATTGTCACAAGCTTTCGTGTACACAGTACACTTCTTCAGGTGAATGATAAGAGGAGCAACATGCAATCGAATATTAAAGGTCTAAAACAAAAGGCAAGTAATAAAAACAATGGAGGTATTAACATAACAATGAAATCATTCCCTGTATGACAATACAATTTTCAACTAGTCTATAAAGTGCTACCATTTTCTTATTGTTTGATTACTGTTAAGACTAGTATGGCTCACCATATTATTTATTAGAATGGAAAAAGAAGAATTAAAAGGATGTCTAATAATATTTTAATTATTGACTTTTTTATTTACTTCTTTATACTTATATATTTTAAATGTACTGTGACAACTTTGTAATAAACAAACAAAGAGTAATGACAAAGAAACAATAAACAATAAAAAAACCATGAAAAGGAAGAGAAATTCCTACCGAAAAAAAAAAATAAATAGATGGTTGTACAAGATGTCTGTAAAGATGAAATTTTGTTTGCAGAATGGGCAGAAAATATTGATCAGCCGCTGGGAAATGATTAAGTCTACACTTCTGCAAGGAGTTAGCAACTCACTTGATCTAGAAGTAGGTATTATTATTATTATTATTATTATTATTATTATTATTATTATTATTATTATTATTATTATTATTATTATTGTTATTATTATTATTATTATTATTTGTATTATTATTGATATTTATTATTAAAATATTATTATTATTATTATTATTATTATTATTATTATCACTTAGACAATGGAGAAATTAGAGAACAATTAGAAAAACGATGTTGAGGGGAAAATAAAATTACATTAAGGGGAAAATAACACAAAATGTATTCCCCTTAAGTCCGACTTATTTATTATTTTTATTTTTATTGTTATTTATTATTATTATTATTATTATTATTATTATTATTATTATTATTATTATTATTATTATTATTAGTTTTATTGTTATTGTTGTTATTATTTTTATTATTATTACTAGTAAATTATGTGCATTATGATAGACTTGACACCAAGAGTAGAGTATAGTAAAAAACAATGCATAACCAACTTTATGGAGATGGGCTCGCTTTCCAAAAGTTACATGATTTTTTTTCTAATTCAAGAAATGTACAGTACTCCAGTGCCAAAGCTTTATATGGAGACTGGTTTAATAAATCAAGTCAAATCTAAATTATTTTGTCAATTTTAAAATATAATATAATACAAAAAGGAATAAAAACTGGCCGCAGAGAGAGAAATCCTAAAGAAGAAAATCAAGCTGTTGTAGATCTCCAATTGTACTGTTTGTATTTGAAAACCATTGCATAAATATGAGATAACCTTATATCTTGATATAAAAGAATTTTCCTACTTATAAAATTTAAGATAGATAAATCATATTATACTGGAGAAGACAACCAATAGAGTGCATACCTCTGCCCTGCGCCAGAATACAGTACAAAAAATTGAGTGGTATCTTTCTTTGATTGTTAAGTGCCATTCCACTAAATTTTATGATGATTCATTCATTAGTTTTTGAGTAATCTTGCTAACAGACAGACAGTAATACAGGCAGCATTGAATATAACCTCCTTGGCGGAGATAGTAAAAGGTAAAAGGGTAAAGATTGTAACCCGAAGCTCTGGGCTCACAGGCCCATCTCTCTTTCCTTGGCGTTTGGGTCAGACTGCAAGATGATTTGCTCTGATAGATTGATCACTTCCTCTAAATTATAATAAGTTATTTATCAGGTCTTTCTGGTGTTTAGGTTGCTGTGTTGAAGTACAATGCAAGGTACTGTAACAAGTGGAACTTCCGTGGTTTACACAGTTTCTTTGGTGAAGTACTAGATGAGGATGAACAAGATCATTTTTTTCAAGTGACTATGCCAGCCATCATAGATCTAGCACTTCAACTACCGAATATATGCACTCAGGTAAACATTGCTGTTTTATATATTGTCTTGATCATAATCGTCATCATTATCATTATCACTGGCTTTACTCTGATTATTATAACCACCATCATCGTTATCATCATAAGTCAACATCATCATCTTTTTCACCACCATGGTTATAATCATCATCAATGTCTTTTAAGAAGTGGTTTGGCACAACAGGAACAGTTTGGTTTCCAGCCTCTTACAATCCCTTGCTGTGCATTTTGATTGTGTCCTTGAGCAAGGCACTTTATTTGCATTGCTTCTCTCCACCTGGGAGTGGTTCGAGTGCAAAATGTGCTGATATACTTCATGCTTCAATCTATGGAATTCCATCCATAGGCATTGTTCCAATGACTGGGTTAATAATGTAGAAAAGCGCTTTTCAGTCTGTATCAGTTACATATCTTTAGCATTGTTAGCTTTAGTTGACCTACTAGAATAGATTTTTTTGTCTTCTGTACAGCGCATAGGAACCACATTTTATGCGCTCTATGCGTCTCCAACCATTACCATTACCATTATTAATATACTATTTACCACCATTATCATTTCACCATTGTCATCATAAGTCAACATCATCACCATCATCATCATCATAGTCATCTTCTTGATCATCATTCATGAGAACAAAACAAGGGAATGTTCTTTTGTTTTATTTGAACACCAACACAATTGAGCTAATATTTGGTTATTTCTGGACTTTTTAACATATTATTTCTCATATTTTTGGTAGAGCCCACCACTTTTAAAGTGCCAGAAGAACCATTCTATCACAATGACCCAGAAACAAGTCGCTAGTCTACTCGCCAATGCTTTCTTTTGTACATTTCCAAGACGAAATGCTCAACAGAAAAAGTCTGAGTACTCGAGGTTTCCTGATATAAACTTCAACAGGTAAGTTCACTGTACATATCTTCACTTGTACATATCTTGAAATACTGTACTAGGTCGAATTGAATGGTCTTCAGGCAGTCTTAAGACTGCCTGTTAAGACCTGTTAAGACCTGCCTCCTGTGTAATATTACAGTAGTGTTACAGCGAAACTCTGTGTGCTTCAGTATCGCAAAAAATAGGCATGATTATACTGAACATTTTCTGCAGTCTGTTGTTTGATCACAGTGTTCATAAAACGCCGTGGCATAGCTACGGGCAGTGCAGCCAGTGCAAAGTACTGAAGCCCAGGTCTATTAGGGGCCCATTCATAAATAAATCTTTAAATAATAATTTCCCAACTTAACTTTTTTGAATAATAAAACAGCTAGCAGGCCCTCAACATTATTAGGTTTTTAGAGGAGTAATAATTAATTACCGTATTGATTTCTAATCAGTGGTGCATTCAAGGGTGCCCCAGCCGGCTTTCCCCCTCCCTAATTTTTGCAAAATTGTAAAAGAAATGGGAAAAAAGGAAATTACATTAAAATTTAAGTCTGTGAATGCCATTTCCGGCCATCTAGTGGTGCTATAATCATAAATTGTCTTACCTCAGCCCTTAACCTGTGGAAATCCCTCCCTGGCCCCTCTGTTTTGAATTCCGTAACCCACCACTGTAATTGTTTCTTGATTATGTTAGAACAGCTGCTGAGACCGATTATCATTAGTTTTACTACTAGCCTAGGCCATTAGAAGTAGGGAGTAAAAGGAGCCTTATGATGAATTTTCTGAGAACTTTAGAACATCAAAAGGTCTGGCAATCTAATCTTGCACTGGGGACCTTTTGCACCTACCTACACCTACTGTTCAAATCCTACTGCTACAGCAGTACAGTGTAACCTAGAAATCAATCAATCAATCAAAGTAACATTTATTTAATTCCTTTTCAATTCGTACAAAAATATAATACAAAGATCAGAACAAATTCATGAGAAAAAGAAAAAGGCACAGACCCAGGAAGAAAAATCATCTTGTGACGAGTCAGCCTAAAACAAAAAGACAAAGGGAGACACAAAAAACAAACAGAAAAGAAATAGTAGGGACACAGACAAAGAAGACACACGCACACAAAAAGAAAGCAACATTTCAAATTGGACCAAGACAGCGAACATTAGTTAGTGAAGAAAAAGAAGATAAGGAAGTTGACTTATACAGTATTAATAACTAGAAATAATGTGTTTCTTGAGCTGGATTGAAAATGAGTTTTTATGGAATCGAAAACTAGGGGAGGTAGAGAATTCCATAGCTAGCTTCGGGCCAGTAAATCTAATGTTATGTTGAAAATAGTTAGTCTTATGATTTGGGAATGTATACATCATATCTACCTCGAGTACAGTAATTGTGTAGAGAGAAATTAGATTTGAAGATGAGGTACACAGAGGTACTTTGATAAAATGGAGTGAGAGGATGCATACATAAAAATACCTTATTTGAGAGAGTTGGTGTCAGGGAGTTTGAGCAAATTTAAAATGGAGAATAAACTAGAGGAACGAGACTGCGGTGGAGTGCCAGATATAATCCTGATGGCCTTTGTTTGAATAAATCAAAGTTGATTTAAATAAGAGGGGTAGGTATGGTGTTAAGATAGTAAAATACATATTCCAAGTATCGAAATGCACGCCATCATGTTGGGATTCAATATTTCAACATTAATTATGTCATCATCAGGAATGGTGTTGGTCTTTACCAGGCCTACAGTGTGAAAATTAGACCAGGAAGTGGAACTTTTTTTTTATAATTGTTACAGGAAATCCTGTTTTTTTTATGTAGATAATTTATGTTGCACCTAGGGCACAAAAAATTGCGCAATTGCTTAACATTTGACCCAAACTCACAACCCTTTGAAAATTCTGTGCTGTACTACTTTGCTGCATACATAGTGCCTCCACATTTAAACATTTACAGCGATCTCAACCCCTGATTTTCACTTTTACTATTAATACTACTGTACACCTTTCTTATTGTATATAGATTGTTTGAGGGAAGTCAAGCTGGTATTCATCCAACCAAAGCAGAGAAACTTAAATGTATTCTCAACTATTTCAGGAGAATCACTACTACAGGTCTGAACCCATCCCAATGAATTTGCATCTGAAGATGATTAATATATATGTGTAAATCACTTGGGAATGGATGGGGCCCAAGTTTTCGCCGCGAAGATTTGGAACAGAATCGGTGCATAAAAAATACTTTTTCTTTCAAGTACGCTTCAGTTCTTTAATAAAAATACTAAAAAATTATAGTTAATAGGTTTTGGTACTAAGCAGTCTTCCGAAAAATTAAGTTTATTTTATATCGATCCCGAAATAAATGTAGGGCTTAGGCTGGCTCTATCTGCAACACTGCAGGGTATGTACTGTATGTGTGTTGTGTTGGGTGGGCGTCTGTGTGTAGTGGTGGTTGTGACTCTGCGGTATTAGGCCTAGTTACGCATGTATAGATGGAGCCCAGCGAGGCAGGATTTAATGTTTTTTTCATGGCATTATGTACCAGTTATTATAGGCTAGACATATATAAATGCCGACTTAAAACATGTAGTATGATTTACTAAGTAAATTAAAATATATATATATATATATTTTTTAATTTTTCAGTAAAATGTGTGAATCTTGCAAGTTGCAGTTACCTTGCTAGAATTCTATGTTCTTTGATGAGATGTAATAAATCAGCCGTAGCCTCTAACATGCCAATCAACCAAGCAAAGCCTTGTTGACTGCTGCCAAGAACGCTTTACTAGCTAATGCTAAATAAATAATATAATATTTATAAATTTATATTTTACGCCAACTGCAATATGTAAACAAATGTAAAATTGTTAAATAAAAGTAAACAAATTTATGAAAATTGTTTGTTTTCGTCATTTTGTGTAATACTTTCATGTTGCACAGCGCGTTGTAAGGCGTCACAGCGCGTCGCTACAGGAGGCTTTATGAAAAAAATCTCCCTATTTTTTGGTTTTCAAACTTGGGATCTATGTATTCATATCCATCCATATTAACATATCCATATACACATCCATCCATATTGATATTGATATTCATACTCAACTTTATGTTTACAATTCAACTTTTCAGAGATAGTTTGTTCATTGTACTATATATATTTTTGTTTAGTCTTTCATGTATATTATTTTTTAAGTGCAATTAATATTTGTTTTTATTTATTCCGTACTGTATTATTTGTGTAGTTAAGCATCAAGGAAACCAAAGTTAATGTTTATCTTGGTTTGTGTAAATAAAATTTATCTTATCTTATATCCATATCCATAGCCATGTCCCCAGGCCTATTGATTTCCATGTCCATATCCATATTGATATTCATATTCATATCTATATGTATAAATATTCATATCAACCAGGTCCTAAAAAAATCTGTTTTCCAAAGTCAAACACATTTTTAAACTCTTTTCATGCATCTGTTATTTCTTAATTATATAAAAACACTTATGCCTTTTTCATAAAGGTAACCCTAAATAATTGCAATACTTAATAATGATGGTCTTGATGGGTACTTGTTGGAAGAACATAATTTAAATAAAAACTGATTTATTGATAATTTTAAGGCAGCTTAAAAAACCTGCCTTCTGTACTTTTATTAAATTTTTTCTTCCGGCATTTTCATTTTTATTGTTTAAGTGCATTGAGGCTTTAGTATAATGCGCTATATATGCCCAAATTATTATTATTATTAATCGATAAACTGCTTGATGATTGGTCAATTGTTTAATTGATTGATATATTAATTAATATGATTTTTCATTGTTTACTTTCCCAGAGCCCACTGGCACTATAACCTTCAGACGATGTGCAATAGACAGGTTTCCTGAGTGGAGTACAAGCACTGCAAGGCTTCGCGATCTACATGTTAGTACAGAGGGAACCATAGAAGACAACGGTCGAGGAATGTTACAGGTAAAACAGAACATCAATATGTCTGGTTTGATATGTGTAATGCCAGTTGGTATGTGCATTTTTCTAAAATTTATCCTGGCCATTAGATCAAATGGTTTTGAAATGCATACAGCACAGATGGGCAAAGTGCGGCCCGCGGATTTTTTTTTTACGGCGCGCGAAAATGAATTACTATATGTGCGGCACGCCAAGCAACAGTGGCTAGAAAACACCATGTTTTTTACGGCATATTACGGCAACACCGACATATGTATAAAGTAATATTAAAACTGAGAATAAAGTGGTGTAAAAGCAGTGCTTGGAGGTTTTTGGAAGCTCGCTAGAAACATCAAAGTTTGTGTGTGGCCCTCAGTGTTAAAATCAAAAATTCACTTTGGCCCTCCGACCAAATTTTATGCCTACCCCGACATACAGTTTTGTGTTCTCTGCCATTTTCTGTATGGGTTGGTAGGCTAGTGCAAGCTTTTTAATCTTTTAGGTGAGAGATTTAAGCTGTTCATTCTGTGTACAAAAATATGGCTTATATTCCTTTAAGGTTGCAGTAAGCTCTTTGTCTCCCATTGTCTATGACCTGTTCATTACTAGAAGGGACCACAGTGGAATTCAGTTTCGTAACTTCAATGGGACATCCTTGGTATGTTTCGCACTCCAAATTCAAATGTACCTTAAGAAAAAATTCATGTGGCCAAAACTGTAAATTTGTAAAGCAAGACATAAGAGAGTGTCACCCAGATGTGTACAACAATTCATCATCAGTTTTTACCTACTGAATCAATTGAATATTATTCACAATTATTTTTTATTTTTTTGTTTTAGATGGATTTTGCCAACAAGTTTGTCGGTGGTGGTGTATTAGGATTTGGAAGCGTGCAAGAGGAGATTCGGTTTTTAATTTGTCCAGAGCTACTTGTGTCCAGACTGTTTACAGAAGTGCTAGATGATAATGAATGTCTTTTAATTACAGGTATGCACTGTACATTGATGGATACATAATATATGTAATGATATTTCCTAATATGTATGCTCATCCCTCCACCCCTCCCCTTTTTCTTTTTTTTTTTTATTCTGCTATGCTAACTGCATCATTGTAGATATATAAGGCCATGGGGTGACATGATGTGTCTATCACTAACAGTGCCACTAGCAAAATTTAAGACAACGAAAGCTTTTCTAGTTTTTATGTACAGTACCGATCACGAGCAGTGCACTTTGTCGGACACGCAGACTGCGGGCGGTATATGCAGGCAAAATCAGCCCGCTATGCCCGTAGGCCAGATTTTCTTACAACTTTTTTTTGCCATGCTGTAGTAGTCAAACCGCAGGTGATGTGTTGCCCGAAGGCTAATTGCATTACTTTAATCATGACAAAGGAAAAAAATCGAGGGCGATCTGCCCACTGGGTTGCCGCCACCTTTAATGTCATCACTATTTCTTTATTTACTACCATGGTGTGGAGTAGTTTCAAGTTTTACAATTTTTCTAATTAAAAATTAACCTATGATATATTAAAATTACTAAAATAATTTGTGTTGAATTGGTTGTAAAATTATGTATAATTATTGGTATTTTTTACAGGTGCTGAACGGTATAGTGACTATACAGGTTACGCTAATTCTTTCAAATGGGCTGGAAATCATGTTGACAACACTTCAAGGTATAATATCCATTCAAGTTTGTTTAACAGAACTGTCATTCTTTAAAAGAAAAAAGTGCTTATTATGTTCTTTCTGGTTTTCAATATCTTCAATTCCTCAATTTTCTCTGTAATCTGTAGACCTATCCTGTGTCAAATCACATTGCAGTAGTAGGTGAATAGCCAAACAATTGAAAATCCATTAAATTTTAATCTATAGCATTATAATTTATAGTGGTTAATATGCTTGCCTTCAAATTCTTCCAAGTGTTAGGATTTTTTGTTCATTTTTAAAAATAAGTTTACACTCTTTGTCTCCTAATGAGACATAGTAAATAGAGAATCATAGACCTTTTTTTTATAACACGTTGACTGACAGAATTTCTTTTAAGGTTCCTTCCTGTGTTCCAAAAAATGTTTACACGCACACACATTTTTGAAATTTTATCTAGTCATATATCATCAAAATGATATGTCTAATAAATTAACGGGAAAATATTAGGGGACGACAAACTCTTCGACGGCACTGTGACAGCAGTTTTTATTGACTATGCCAAAAGTTTTCTCGTCCGCTTTTTGCATGGGTTGGTATATGTTCAAAAAGATGCCCCCACTTGTGCCGTTCAAGTGTATTGCTAGCAACATAACACAATAAAGATACATACGTTATTTGTATGTTATCGTCTTGGTGTATCTTCCTCGAACTACCAGCCATTAAGTCTGTGGTTCTACAATGTATAACAAAGAAGTAATAAATGCTGGAATGTTACCCCGATTTTGTATACCTGATATGTGTGTGTAGTCATCCCTGGCGCCATCATCTACACCCTGCGGGTGGCAGCCAAAGTGTTAAATAGTTTTAATGAATGTTAAAAAAAGTAAATGTAAATTTTTGTTGTTTTTTATGGTAGAGATGATTGGGGGCGCCGTTGTACTGAAATTGTAGCTGTTGATGCTCTTGTCTTCCATTCCAAAGCAGCTCAGTATAAGACTAATCTTCTCACAAGAGAGATTAATAAAGTAAGTGTAAAATGAAATTATTGTGAGTTCTGTATATGCCTGATGATAGAAGAGCCTGTGCGGCCTCTTGTATTTGAAAAAAAAAAGGTGTTTCCATGTACTATTATATACTACCATTTTGATACAGATGTGCTTTTCCATACTTTCATTGCTGGCTATATATTTATTTCTTGTTAAACCATGGTTTTTCTGTACGTTTCAGTTACGGTCAGTTGTTATTTTTATTATGTCAATAAAATAAATATAAAAATTTATAAGAATAAAATGTAGGGCATAACATCCTAAAGCTCTAACTGGTTGTTAAGCATTTGTACGATCTATTATAACAAAATAACGAATAACAAGTATGCAGGGTCCCAAGTCTTCCGGAACCCCCGGGAGTCTCCCGGAAACCGACATGGTCACCCGCACTCCCGCAAACAAGCAAAAATCTCAGAGAAATTCAGTAAAAAACAAATCTTTTTACAGTATTTCATTTAGGTCTAAAGTTTGGTTGTCGATTGTTTTTTTGCATCCGGGCTGTTAAAAGTGCCTATTCTAAAAAATGTCATCACCTCATCCCCAATCATGGTTGGCCTGAGGTGGCCCTACATTTGGTACCTACACTTCTTCCACATAGAATATATAGCGCCCCCAATGTCATTAAACGAATCTCCCGGAAGTGGGTTCTTCCAACTTGGGACCCCTCTTGGCACATGTAACATTTCCCTCTTTCTTATATCAGGCGTATTGTGGTTTTAATGACAATACAACACCAGTCAAGAATCGTTCAGCTGTTGCTACTGGTAACTGGGGATGTGGAGCATTTGGAGGGGACCCTAGGCTGAAGGGTAAGTATGTAAAATAGTATTTTGATAATTGCATGTTAGACCAAATTTGTACAAATAATATGTTGTAATAATAGTACTTTTTACTACAACCCACATTGTAGTGGTAGGGTGATGGTCACAGTTGTGGCGGTAATGCAATGGTGGTGGGGGTGATGGTCACAGTATGATGATAGTGGCAATGGTGATGATAATGAGTACTTAATCATAATAGTAAACATAATAATAATAATTTAAATGATAATAATAATATTAATTTATTTCAAATAACTTTTAGAAAATGCACCATTTTTTTTTTAATTGCTTATCTTTAAAAACTAAATGTAGCCAGATACTCGGTGCATCGTACAACAGTTGTAAAAGAAATCATTGTCTGCTTTCTGTGAGGGTTGGACAACAAGATGCTTCTGCCGAATGTTGATGGCAGCCTAAATAGATCGTCATTAGGGCAAAAAAAAAAATTGTGTTGGCCACGTTTTGGGAAAATCCAAAAAATGGGTAGGTCGGTAGGAAAACTTTTTTTTTTTTAAACTAAAAAGTAGAAAATACGCAAATAATACAACAATTTTGGATTCGCATCACATACCAT